GTTAGTAATGAGCCAGACCATCTGTTATCGTTCTCGCGTAAAGCTGGAGGCGGTGGTAATGGTAATGGTGATCAAAATCCAACATCAACTCTCAATAATGAGCCACACCATCTCTCATCGACCTCGCGTAAAGCTGGAGGCGGTGGTAATGGTAATGGTGATCAAAACCCAACATCAACTCTCAGTAATGAGCCACACCATCTCTCATCGACCTCGCGTAAAGCTGGAGGCGGTGGTAATGGTAATGGTGATCAAAACCCAACATCAACTCTCAATAATGAGCCACACCATCTGTCATCGACCGCGCGTATACCTGGAGGCGGCAGTAGTGGTAATGATAATAATAAGCCAACATCAACTGTCAATGACCACCCAGAGTCACTTTCTTTCTGTTTTAGCTTTGCCCCAAAAAACAGGAGAAACAAAACGTCCTCCTTCCACAGAAGCTAATACTTCTGAACTACTGAAACCAACTAAGGCATCAAATACAACATCAACTTCTTTTGTTCAGTCGTTCGCTTCATTATTTGCGTCAGAAGGGTCAGGTGCATGGAGAACCACAAGTAATCAGCCACAACCTGAGTCGTTTACTTCGTTAACTAGTGGTAAGTGCCCAACTCTTTCTCGGGGGATCTCATACAATTTGAAAAGTAGTTTTAGGACGTTTGAATAAGTTGCTAAATTATGAAAAGAAAAGATTTCTTTCTATTTTTTTCTCATATTAAATATCCGTTGTTAAAAGTAGAAAGAGACAACGAGATACGATGGATCATTGCCTAATTAGGCATTAGTATACAACTCTGGGGAGCGATCAGGTGATCTGTCAGAATCCCGCTAAAGTTAAAAGGAACACGGAGTTATTCTGTGGCACGGACTTATTCGAGAAACAAATAGTGATTTTCTGATATGTATTTTCTTTCGATTATGAGTGCTCTTATTATATTCTTCATCAGGATCTACTCCCGTGATCAAGGCACTGATTTTACCGAGAACCGCTAGAAGTTACATACATCTTAGCTTGGATCATTCGTCCCACCGCACACTTACTACATTGTGACGTACACCACAGCTTCTGCAGCTAGCCTTTGTGACTTTCCAGTAAGATATCACTTCGTTATGAATTGTGTAGCTGCAGTTGATGACTAGTGATGAAGAGCTCGTCAACTACAGGGAAGATATCGAACTATTGAAACTACCATGGCAACACCCGGAACGATACCCACTAGGGGAGGTATTCTTGCTGCAAAAATCACTTGCCTGTTAAGGGGCAGTGTGTTGGTTGAAATTCCACCTCTGCAATCTATTTTTAGTCTCTCAAGTGAACAGATTTCAGTTAAGGAAGACGCAGAATTGGCTGGCTCATTGAACCTGTGTGCGCCAGGGAAAAAAAGTTGTGTGATTAAAAAATACAAGAAAAAAGGAAAAAGAAGTGAAAATGTGGTAGGAAGTAGTCCATAACAAACGATAAAACATACACTCGGCGAAACATAGACATATCGCCTCTTTATGCATTTAACTATATATAAACAGGAGACAACTAAAAAAAGGAAGAAAAGATGAGAGAAGACGCTATTTACATACACATTGATGCTTTTTGACCTTTTTACGTTTTTAATGAAACATAGTATATTCAAAATTATAGAAAAGAATTTAAGTAAAATCATTTTACATACAAATAGCGAGCTTTCGACACTATCACAGTATCAGTTGATACAGTATCAACTGATACCGCCTAATATATACAGACACCGGATGATCCTCATTCATTGTGTGGCTCATAACTCAGTCATTCTTGGACCAAATCTTATTCACCATCGGATGATGTACTTCGAGTAGAATGAAGCACTTTTTTACCTTGATCGATCGCTTTGATCTTTCTTGAATTTGCGCATCCAGGAATTGCTGAGACTTTTATCAAAAAATGAAAATGAATTAACGAAAAATTTTGAAATATATATCATTCTACTCGGTTTTCGACGCCGATGGTGATAATGATATTTTCATTGTGTGAAAGTGGAGTTCTGGCGCAGAAAATAAAAGTCGAATCTCTCGCGAATGTGAAAAGGAATCAAAAACCTGGACGTATACTTTTGTAAAGCTTGAGATGGCGCATCGAACGGTGTAAACATTTTGGCTCTAGGACCTCTCCAGAGGCAGTTGAAAGACTTACAAAAACGGTTGATGCATTTTGATTACTTTGGTTTCGGGCTTTGTCAAAAACTGAGTTTTCTTTTTGCGGCTTCAGAAAGTACATCTATAGATTCAGTTTTTGATGCCGAATCTGAATATGTTAATCTCAAAGCTGTACTTCCTCTTCAAACTACACGGCTTTTTCTGAAAACGGATATTTTTCCGCTTTTCGAGTCCCCGAGTGAGGAAAGGGTTTAGAGAACTGGGGAAATGATATTCGTGCTCGTCGTTGGATTCTCTATCGAATGGTGTAGTAAACAGGCACTTCTACTTTTTACTGTGACCTTGCATGTCGTGCATCTTACGCTATAAGTGTATATGGGATATATTTCTTATAGTAGCAAATGTAAGTAAATATTCTCTTCTTCGTTTGTTGCATTCTCCTGCTTATATGCTAGAATACTCATTATTTTAAAAATAATGAATACATTGGAAGTATATATATGCAATGTATGTATCCACAATACAATTAAAGGAACTGAAATTAAGCAAATAAAATAAATTACAATTCAAATGCGGCAGAACGGCAGAGCGACTGAACGACCAGCTGAACGGCCTACCGAGCGGCACACATTTTCATGTACTCCCTAAAGCGTGTATTTTTTTCTTTAAAACGCTATATAATAGTATAAGGAACAAAAAAAAGTAAAATCGCTATGTGTAGCAGTTCTACTGTTTTGTATAGAGGAGCTGTATGTGCATTGTCGAAAGGATAATCAAGTGGGTAATATTTAACAGTCGCTTTTCTGCCCACGAATACGACTTTTATTAGTGACTAAGGTTTTGTTTAAATATATGGTTATTTACAGAAGAGAAGATACATCTCAGTTGACGGTAAATTTTCTTGTACTTCCTAGGTATGGTGTAGATTCTAAAATTTTCCTGTCTGGTTTTGACTTTTAATCTTTCTGTGAAAGATTTCCGTGTTGTACGTACGCAAAGGTTCAATATAAAGATAAATAGGATCAATTATTTGTCAGTTGGATGTCAGTATGTTTGCCGCTTCTTAAAGCGTAGTTTTTATTTTCGCTGTGAAAAGAAATTTTACCAGGTTAGTCGCCTGTTACCAGATCATGAAGAATTTCAAAAGTAAATACTAATTTATTTTTCTCAAAAGTATCCAAGATATCTGTTCAAGCAAGTGTTGAAAGAACCGTGTTCCGTGAGATTAAATTTCGTACACCCACAAACTAAAATAGCAGATTTGTATTGAAGACCAACAATTGAGGAGAGCTTATATCTAAAGGTGGCAGCAGGACCGAACCATCGATGAATAGAGGATAAGCATATGTTTTATATATTTGGTATTTTCCCTCTTAAATGAATTGAAAACAAATATCAGCAAAAAATTCATCTAAGCCAATTGAGACTTCTTTAACCATTCGAGCAATAAATTCTGAGCTACACACGTTACTTGGATTGAGTTTTTCTAAGAACACGTTCAATTTCACAGAGAGAAATTATTTTATCAATGTCAAAAGTGGTAGAAACAGAACAATGAATGAAAGAAGGAAAACGTTTTTGAGCTTGATTTAGATTCATAGTGCCAATTTAGCGAAATGAGAGTTCAAAATATTTCCTTTTTCTTCGTCATTATACACCCATTTTTGACTAGAATCTTGGAGAACAGGTATTTCGAAAGATTTATTTCTAACAAGAGGTTGATTTATTAGTTTATACCATGTTTTGGAATTTTTTTTTTTTCTTTTAAACGTTAATAAAACTTTTGCATCGCTACTGACCAAGCATTTTCAAAAGCGTTAGCCGTTTCTACATATTTAATTGTGTTGACATTTGACGGTTTTCTAAGAAAAAGAGCATTAGATCTATCTTGCTTCTTTCGTAAATGTCTTAGCTCACTAGAACCCATGGTTTATCACCTTTTTTAACTGTTTTAACAACAAAACAAGTATATAAAACTGATATCTCTAAAGAGCTCTGCACCATATTCAGAAATATCACGTTCAGCTGTCAGAGATTTTGAACGAGCTTGTTTTTTCCGTTCAATTACTGTCTCTCGTTCTACTATTACAGACTTAGTCGTAGCAAGACACCTGATCAATTCTTTCGTGGTGAAAGAAACCAGACTTACTCAGCACTCAAAAATGAATTCTGAAACTTCTGAGGTAGCCTATCTTGTAGCCCATGAAAGTCTGTACAAATTGCTTGAATTTTTTCGTTGAGTTGTAATTTTACAAATGGGACTTTAAGATAGTAGAGTAGGCTGATCTAAAGTTAATGGGTACTAATTAGTCAATAACATGAAGGAAAGAACAAATTTTTTTACATATTTTCTCGTAATAAATATTTAGAAAGTGTTTTCCTATTAAATTTCTTGTTAAAATATAATGGGACTCATCGCCTCGAATGTGTTAAAAATGAATTAAGTTAGCACAGAACACAGAATTATCACGAGATTGGCAGAGAGGAGGAAGAATCGAAACCAGTTTAATTAGAGAAAGACTTGTAGTAGCAAATACATCTAAACATGTGTTTGATAAAGCTGTAGTAAACGCCTTAACTAACTCTTTGACTGAAAGTTTGTTGAATAATTTGTAAAGTTTTCACCAGGTCCACTTCAGCAATAGAGTACTTTTTTATTTTTTTATCTTCCAAACCATCTTCTAATATACATTATTAAACATATTTTTTCACACTGATGACAGAAACCAACTTTAAGATTAACGAAAACGTAATTTGAACAGTGAGAACTGGAATATTAAATTTTTAATTTCCTCCCCCACTTTATTATCGATATAAATCAGAAATATGTATATAGCCTGAAGGTGAATTAACTATCTTCAAAAATGCATTTACTTTTCTGAAATGCAGCACTGGAACAGATTTATATACTTTTCTCAACCTTTTGACTTTTTAAGTATTACAAATACAGAAAAGGATTGTCATTTCACTGCTGATAATCATAACCATGTGATGTGTTCGAATTAGAAACTCACAGCCAGTTTCGCTTTTCAAGGGACAGCTTGGAAAGCCCATGTGTCGCAGGGTTAGGAAACATTTTTAGTGTTAGGAAAAGAGCGCTGTTGTATTCTTATTTTTAGTAACAGGTAGCTAAAGTTCTTCTCTGTTAACTGTGATCAACCAGCATTTAAAAATTAGAACGCTAAGAGAAAAAAAGCAAAGAAGAGACAGTATTCTAAGTACAGAGGACTACAAGTGTCAAAGCTTTACGTTCTTCATTTCTTTCAAAAATCTTAAAAAAAAAGCTTCTGAGTTGATAGTTTTGGAATATACTAAGGTGTAACTTTCAGATGACCTAGAAAGATAAAGAAAATCAATATGCAGAAAAATCGGTTGTTAGAACTTTCCCGCGATCTGAACAAAAAGTCTAACAAAGTTTTCTGCTATTCTAATCTATTAGGACAACGAGGATTTGTGAAATTTGTAGGTTTTTAATATAAATTGTAGAGGAAAAACTCTTTTTCTGGATATTCAGGTGGTAAAAACTCAAACCAGACCTCTCCAAACTCAAACGGGGGAAGCAGCGAGATAGACATCACTTCAAGCGTAAGTGCAAGTAGCATCATCTTCGAAGAGACATCCAATACTAAATCAACTGGAACAATTACTGAAGACTCTCCTGGAGAGAGCACTGGATCAACGAAAACCAAGAATGAACTTCCTCCTGCTACTCAGTCCATTGGAACAAACACTGCTGAAGCAATGGAAACAAGTCTGGAGCAGGTCACCGTGGCTGGTACAATGATAAATGCTGGTATGCGTATATCTTGGGATAATGTTAAGTTAACGCTTATATTTAAAAGTGACGTGTTGTCGACTCTAGTAACACAAGATGATATTGTATCATCGATAAGCGAGAGAAGCTTCTCATCCCAGTTGTGTGCTGTTTAAGAGTGGTGTCGATTCACCACAAAGTGAGATCTAAACGACTCATACGCCTGCTACTCTTGCTGATGTGGGAATTTCGGGTTTTA